AACACAAACGATAAAAATCTATACATAACAGTCAGTGATGTGAGGCAGAGTAAAAACCAGTTTCATGGTTCAATTCATGACCCACAAGTCAAGACAGATTAGACCTGATTGGGTTGTTGGTGCCATATGTGACCTACAATCTGCGCTCTGCTAGCATTAGTAGACAGGAGGGTCGCCAATCTCCCTGGGCAAAGGTTGCCATGGAAACGACCCCTGGATTCTCCAGTCTGCCGTTTTGCAGTCCTCACTCTTCTTGAGGCTGAATTATCCTAGATTCCTTTATGTCACATCCATATTCTTCTGCTCTATTTCCTCCCTCTCTTTCCCCGACTCTCTCCGTCTCTCCCCGTCCTGTGGTCTCGCCCTCTTCTGCTCTTACTAACTGCTCTGTTTCGCTCCGTTTGGAGATTTTTTTTCTGCAGAAGTGTGTATGATCATGTTTTGATTTTATCAAGTCATTATGATTTTCAGCCTTGGTTGTTTGTTTGTAGATACTAGCAGATGTTCATGTAAAATTCTATGGTTTAAATGATTTCTATATGTTAGCAATATACAGATTATTTACTTAATCTATATGAATCTATATGTGTTTCCTTCATGTATTAAAGGTAAAACTTTTCTGATGTGAAAGGCAAGGGTCATTTTTAAGTCAAATAAAGCTATGACCCAATGCAATTTACTAAACAAAGTCAACATTAAGAAAACTGCAGAGTTTAAAATGTAATAGATAAATGCTATATGCTACATTTGGGTTGAAACAAACTTCACTACTATTAAAACAGTCTGCTCTATTTTTGTGTGTGACTGAAAGCTTGACATGCTACATCTGCCATGCTGTCATTATCTCATGACCTATGTTATTTATGTTGCTTCACTTTCATTCACAAATCCTCTGTGGCCTCATGGGAGAGAAAAGTGTTTATCAAATGTGCACTTTTTAATCTCACTGGAAATAGAAAGTAGGCTGGATGCTTCTTGCCTACTGGACAAAAAGAACTTTTTCACCTATACCAGGGGTCACCAATCTCGGTCCTGGAGGGCCGGTGTCCATGCAGGGTTTAGCTCCAACTTGCCTCAACACACCTGCCTGGGTGTTTCAAGTATACCTAGTAAGACCTTCATCAGGTTGTTCATGTGTGTTTGATTAGGGTTGGAGCTAAAATCTGCAGCACAATGGCCCTCCAGGAACAGGTTTGGTGACCCCTGACCTATGCTATCTAGTAGGAAGATGAATGAATGTTTGGATTCAATGCTAGTCTCACATGTGCTTGTCAGAGAAAATGCCAAATTGAATATTTCATAGAAAAACTGGTTTGACTACAGATAAAACCAACAAACGTGGTCGTTGTTATTAAATGGGGTAACCCTAACAATCATGGTTTTGACAGTAATCCATCCATCCATTCACTTATCCGTCCATTTATCCATCCACCCAGCCATCCATCCGTCTATTCACTTAACCATTGATTCATCCATCCAGTCATCCATCCATCCTCCCAACTATCCATCCATCCATCATCTTAACCATCCACCTACCCATCCATCCATCCATCCATCCATCCATCCATTCATCCATCCTCCCAATTATCCATCCAACCACCCTTCCAACCATCCACCCACCTCTTCATCCTTCCACCCACCCAACCAACCAACCGTCCATCCCCTCAACCATTCATTCTTGCATCCATCCATCCATCCATCCATCCATCCATCCATTCTCTCGACCATTCACCCCCTGTTCATCCATTCACCTGTTCATTCATCGATCATTCCATCCATCCATCCATCCATCCATCCATCCACCCTACCATCTATTCACCATCTATACATTTATCCATCCATCCACCCAACAATGCATCCATCCACCCAACCATCAACTCTCCCAACCTTCCATCCACCTGTTCATCCATCCATCCACCCAACCATCCATCCTCCCAACCATTTATTCTTCCAACCATCCATCCATCCTTCAATCCTTTAATCCATCCTCCCAACCATCCATCTATCCATCCATCCATCCACCTAACCATTCTTTCACCCATCCATCCTCCCATCTATCCATCCATTCACCCAACTATGCATCCATCCTTCCATCCATCCTCTCAACCATCTACCTACCCGTTCATCCATCCACCTGTTCTTCCATCCATCCATGCAAATTGTTTAAATATTTAATTTGATACTAATCTGAAATTTTCCATTAAATTAATTAATTAATTAGTAATGAAAATGAAACCGTCTAATTTATTCGGATAGTTCACTCATGAAGTGACGCAGTGGCGCAGTAGGTAGTGCTGTCGCCTCACAGCAAGAAGGTCGCTGGTTTGAGCCTCGGCTGGGTCAGTTGGCGTTTCTGTGTGGATTTTGCATGCTCTCCCCACGTTCGCTTGGGTTTCCTCCAGGTAGTCCGGTTTCCCTCACAGTCCAAAGACATCCGGTACAGGTGAATTGGCTAGGCTAAATTGTCCGGAGTATATGAGTGGGTGTGGATGTTTCCCAGAGATGGGTTGCAGTTAAAAAGGCATCCACTGCGTAAAAATGTGCTGGATAAGCTTGCAGTTCATTCCGCTGTGGCGACCCTGGATTTATAAAAGGGACTAAGCCGAAAAGAAAATACATGAATGAATAGTTCACTCATGCAATAAATCATCTTTCAATAGATTCTAACACCAGAATAGTAACAGGAGAGGACACATTTTATCAAGCAAAAACTAGTCTTCTAATATTTGTTATTATGTCTATTTGTATTGTGCATGCAGTGTATACTGTATGAACAATTCTCTACAGTATGTTAAATTCCACAGTTTGTTTGCAAAATTTAAACAAAACATAAAAATATCGCAATTATGCATACTGATAAAGGGTAGAAAAGAAACGTTGAAAGGTAATTGTACTAATAGCTCCATGATGTAGGATCTATATAATGATCCACTGAAAATACAACCAACATCAGTGCATGAGAGCTGAAGCGCCACATGGAGCTTCTCACATGGGAGTCAAAGATCACGAGCAGTGGTGTTGAGAAGCGAGGCCATTTGTCTTCTTCACACCAGCCCCCGTGTGATCTGTCAGCTCTGTAATCCTCACAACAAGAAAACTGCAAGTGACTCAGGGGATCAGGGAACTATTTGATAGACGATCACCCGCATCACATTATCAGTTCACCCTTCTGCACAGATAAAACACACAACATTTATTTCCCCCATACTCCAGGGGGCACTGTTGATGTAACATATAACATTTTCAAATAAATAATGTTATTGATCCTTAAATAGGCGATTCCTGTGTAAATTAGCTACTTGGTGTGTGTGTGTGTGTGTGAGTCAAAAACCTATTTTACAGAAAGAAACATTAAATGCAAGTAAAGTGCTGCTTTTAATGTTTCCAATAACGTTTGTTAAAAATAAATTATCAAGGTATATATGGGCAGAAAAATATTTAGCCTTCATTCAGTGTAACAAATGTATGTAATAATAATTAAATAATATTTCATGTATTAAAAGTATTTTGTTGTTGTTGTTGTGAAGGGCAAGGCTCATTTTAAGTCAAATACAACCATGACCCAGTGCAATAACTCTTTTGTTAAAATAAAAATTTCAAGATATGGGCAGAAAAATATTCAGTCTTCATTCAATCTAACAAAATCACAGTTGAAGTCAGAATTATTACCCCCCCTGTTTATTTTTTTCCCCAATTTCTGTTTAAAGGAGAGATTGTTTCAACACATTTCTGAACATAATAGTTTATCATTTCTAATAACTGATTTATTTTATCTTTGCCATGATGACAGTAAATAATATTTGACTAGATATTTTTCAAGACACTTCTATACAACTTGAAGTGACATTTAACGGTTTAACTAAGTTCATTAGGTTAATTGGGCATGGGGTTATTAGGCAAGTTATTGTATAACGATGGTTTGTTCTGTAGACTCTCGAAAACAAATATAGCTTAAAGGGGCTAATAATTTTTACTTTAAAATGGTTTTAAAAAGTAAATCTACTTTTATTCCACCCAAAATAAAACAAATAAGACTTTCTCCAGAAGAACAAATATTCAGACATACTGTCAAAATTTCCCTGCTCTGTTAAACATCATTTTGGAAATATTTTAAAAAGAAATAAAAATTCAAAGGGGGGCTAATAATTCTGACTTCAGCTATAATAATAATTAAATAACATAGGCTACTTATTCTGATATTAAAATATATCAAAGATTATCATACTAAATTTTATTTAAAATTATTATAAACGTCTTGCTGACAAATTGTTAATAGCTGGTTTGAAGGTTAATGTTAAAAAACAAAGATTTAAATGAGTATTTTGGGGGCTGTGATCACTATGATCCTTAAATAGAGTCGTCTAATGTTTGATGTCTTGTATAGTAAATATGCCCGAAGTAAACATTAAAAAATTGTAATAAATAATAAATGACTTGAATAAATAATAATGATATATTAGTAATAACAAGTGAGTAACAGACAAATAATTAAGTAAATAATATATTCTATTTTCGTCTGTGACCATTGTTCGACTATTTTATTAAAATAACATTTCTAAATAAATATGTTTTAGGCTACTTTAATTAAAGTGCCTTCATTTATTTGTAGGATTGCCTAAATCAGTATATCATTGCATATTAGAGAAATCATGAATATTAACGTAGATTAAAAATATATTTTATTAATAATAATTAAATAAAATTATGACAGAACTTTGTTTTTTTATTGTTAAACTATTTGTGTTAAATTGTTTCATTTTAAGTATTGCTATTGATTAAATTATTTATATTAAATTTAAGTAAATAGGCATAATAATATAATATAATATAATATAATATAATATAATATAATATAATATAATATAATATAATATAATATAATATAATATAATATAATATAATATAATATAATATAATAATCTTGCAGACACTAGTGTTTGAGCATCATTGTCATACTCACATTCCCGCCCCCTCGTCTGCGTTTCATTGGTTTCGTCCAAACTTGCTTTAGTTCTTCCAGTCCGATGGGGTTTATTCGAGTGCTTGTGATCATAGTGTGTTCACAGATGGCCCGCCGGACAAGTTTTCAATGAATATTCTGGGTCTTTACAGTCAAATGCCTAAATTTACGGCAATTATGGATATAATTCGTTTGTTGTGGATAATACGGCTTGTGTGGGCTGTTGAAGGTAAGAGCATGTGTCTGTGTCAAGCGTGCGTGTTTTCAAATGTCTGTTACTGTACTTTTACCGCTTCGTGTCAATGATGATATAAATCAAAACAGGATGATGAATATATGTAAAAGCCGCGAATAATATTGTTGTACAGTCCCGTCATATTATTTTAAGTTAAAGGCTTTCGTTTCCATTAAAGTGGACCGAAAACAGGTGCACTGCAACTGTCTGTGGATAAAAATGAGTTGATATGGTTTCCCTTGGTTAAACGTTGTCTATACAATCAGCACAACAATGTTCATTTATAGCAAAAGTTTAAATGTTAATGTAAAAATAAAAATTCTGTCTCTATTTATTTAGAATATATTCCAAAGATGTATGGATTTTTTTCTGTGTAACACAAAAGATGTTAGCCAGTCAGTTCCATTCACCTTTATTGCACTTTTTCCACAATGAAAGTGAATGGTGACTGAGGCTTATGCTATTATCTTTTGTGTTCCACAGAAGAAAGCAAGACACTGATTTGCACATGGGTGTAAAAAATGATGTCTGTTCAAGCAGCATTATCACGTCTCTTTCTGTCTCACAGAATGGTACATCTTCAGTACAGTTGAGTTAAAACATAGACATAAACCCAGTGACCTCCCAAGTGCATAGACGTCAGTGGGGGTATTTTATATGGCAATTGCCATTGCAAATAGGTGTCTAGTTAGATTTTGAAGGCTGTAGAATAACTTTGAATAATACAATATTTTTTTAAATAATCTTAAAATACTTTCATGGTACATTTTTTTGTCTATCATCTAACGGTCTGTTATTACACGTGGGCCATTGTCTCAAATCCTCAGCTGTAGATCTGCATCTGCACCTCATCATTCAAGAGACTTAATCATTTTTTAAACTCCAAGATAATTAATTCTTATTGCTTTTAATATAAGTTAAAAAATAACATCCTCTGAGAATTTATAAGTCAATTACTTCATTATACTGTATATAGGATGAATCAGAGTGGCTCTAGAAGTTCCCATTACATACTAGAGTTGGTCATCGTTGAGGTGATGGACCTGTTGCTACAAGAAATGAGAGGGCAAACATGGCAATATTTACTTATTTCTTTTAAGCATGATTTTATTGGTAATGCCGTCATCTTATTCTTTGCTATGCGTGTTCATGATTAACAGTTTTCATGTTTTCCCATAGCGATATAATTAAATCTATTAATTTAGTGTGAAGAACAGACATGGGCCGGTATAAGTTTCTAACTGTAGGATAACCTTGGATAAAAATATCATGGGTTCGCAGTATTGTTTTTACTGCTCTAAATGTTGTTCTTTTTAAATATCTGTGTAAAAACAACAACTTTTTTCCAATTAAACACGATATATTTTATTTTAGGAAACATTTTTAACATTTTGGAGCTGTAAAAATGTCAGGCTAAATAATTTTAATAAATTGTTGACTTCTGTACTCTTCATTAGTTTCAAAAACACATTTCTTTACAACACATAAAAAAACATAAAAAACTTTCACATACCTTAGGAACTGTATAAGAGTTTTAAAACCTTGACTTTTCAAAATCGTGGTAAACGTCGAAACCGGTTATCATGCCATGTCTAGTAAAGAATGTTGTGATAATATAAAACTGGAATTTTATACTGGGGTTTATATTGGGCACTGCAAAGAAGTACTATGGGGTCTGTGGAAATTTTAATGTAAATAAAAATAATGTAATTCATAAAATAAATATTGTATTACGATAAATAAATAACTACCTTATTGTAATAAAATACATTCTTATTAATTAATTTTCAGACCTTATAATTATAATAATTGTAAATTGAATTTACATCAACACAAATAAATACAATACATAATAAAAATATTTATTAGATAAATAATAAATGTGTAAATAAATTAAAATAAATCTACCCTGGGTTGAAAAAATGTAACTTAATAGAAATGTAATTTTCTAAATTATATTTTGGAAGAAATTCTACAATTAATTTTTCCACAGTATTCACCTTATTCACTGCATATAAACAGGGGCAGCCATTAGAATCTTTTTGGCTTGAGACTTCAGGTTTCATTCAGTTCCATTCATTTTTAGACATTAAAACCAGGTTAATTTGCTGCTTAATGTTGCAAACTGATATATTTTTTTTATATTATTCAATTTTGTCTGTAAAATCTTGCAAACACTTGTCTCTGGAGCAAGTGGTTTGACCATTTTCTGCTGTTTATTATTCCTAGTCATTTCTCTCATAGGCAACTGATTTGGAAGTTCTAAAACAATCACAAAAACGTGCACACTTCCACATTGAATTGAATAAAATAGGACTTTACACAAGAAACTAATTGTCTTTTACATATTAGGAGTGGTGTACATTACAAGTACATTTTTGGGATACAAGGATGATCCTATTTTTGGGTTTACTCCTATAAATACAATCTGTACATTGGCATTGATGACTTCATGAAGAAACTTTTAATTCACCAAAACCATTTACATATATTAAAAAAGATCTGTAAATGATTAAAATTGTTCTTCATGTTTTTCATTTTACGTTTTCTTTACGTTCTCTTTACATTTTTCAAATAGGGATTAGAGAGTATTCCATTTTAACTTTATTATTATGCAATAATTATGTGTAAGGTTTTGGGCTAATGTTTTCAAACACTAATAGAGACCATATTCATAGCATTATATTCTGTTAACGTTACTGAAGAATGTTAGCTTTAACTTTTGTTTTAAACTTAGATTTTTCAAAATTAGTTTTATTGTTTCTGGAATTCAGCAATCACATAGAAAAAAATATTTAAAAAAATGGTTTTGAAACATTATTAAAAGTGTTTGCGACATTTGAAATTGCTAAAACCCCTGAAAAAAACTTCCCCTATTAAGAGCATCATGTGAAATGGGAAGGTTTAAAAGTTTTCTTTGTGTGAACATTTTAGTAATCTAAAAAATCTTTTTTTTCACCTCCAAGAACTTTTTTTTTGTGGAATGAAAAGATTTTTATGGATCCAAAGCCAATAAATAATTTTTATTTTGCATTCATGCATACTTTCACTGTACTGTTTGTATAGAAACTTCTCTGTGGACCTTTAAATAAGAGTTTTGCTCTGTCTGGTGTTCTATTCTGATGATAAACCATCTGTTTAGAGTGATGCACTATAAACAATGCTTAAATGAAGCTTAGCCATGGCCTGAAAAGCCCATCGTCCATTTTCTGTTTGTTTGGTCTGCCTGATGGATGTGAGGAGTAAGAGCTCATTTATCACACCTCAGAGCAGATACAGATCTTAGGAGAGAAATAATTGTTTACAGCATTGAGACACGGATGGCTTCCACTGCGAATATAAGGACATGGATATTTCCTCAAGTGAGTGCGGATGTCTGTGTGAATTAGACCTCGCTTTGGCTAATCTAATGAATCCATCCTGTTTCAATTTTGTTCGCTGGGTTCTTCGTTTGGCCAGGGGCGGCGAGTAAATGATTTGCTGTAATGTGAAGAAAATACATGGCTGGACTGCCACTTAAGCTCCTGTTCTGTTTTGTTCTGTCAATCATGTTGCGAGCTGTAATGACAGGACTGTGCTGTAAAAGCCGACCCCCTAAGCTTTTATAGAGAAAGTAGTGCGCATAAATTATAGTAGCAATGCATTAGAGGCTGTTTGTTGTGTTAGAAATATGTACACTCTTTGTATTTTTCACAGAATGTAGCAAATCTGAACCATATATCAGTGCAGGCAGGTTATAATATGTCAGTTGATCATGTGACTATTAAAAATAAATTTATTGCTTAAAACAAAATAAATATAACTTACACAATACTTGCATTTCATTTTTTTTGTTATTGATAATTTTTCCTTTTTATTAATGTAAACATACACTACCTGACTAAATTCAAAAAGGTAGTACAGTACCTGACAAACTAATTTTACTTCTAGTGGATCAGTTGGTATCAGCAGTGGCTTATATGAAAGGCAGAGACCTCTAGATTCTGCTTCATTCTTTTCTTTTCTTTTCAGCTTAGTTCCTTTATTATTTAGGGGAACGAATCGTCAACTTATCCAGCATATTTTTTATGCAGCGGATGACCTTCTAGCTGCAACCCATCACTGGGAAACACACAAACACTATTTTTTACAAACATACCCTATGGTCAATTTAGCTTACCCATTTCACCTACAGTATGGCACATGTTTTTGGACTGTCAAGGAAACCGGAGCACCTGGAGGAAACCTTCGCGAACACTGGGAGAACATGCAAACTCCACACAGAAATGCCAACTGACCCAGCCGAGGCTTGAACCAGTGACCTTCTTGCTATGAGGCGACAGTACTACCCACTGCGCCACCGCGCCACCCTAGGTTACGCTTATTTTACCAAAATAAAATATGATCATGCCTTGATTTTTAATTATTTAATTAGGACAGTTAGGTCTGACTTTGCTTAGACAAGATTCTTGTCACTTAACAGAAATAATGCACAGTATAGAATATAAAGTCATGGTGCAGTGGAAAAAGATTTAAGATTGTGTATCACTCCCATGAGCTTGGAGGACTGCATCTATGCATCTCTGCAATGACAATGGCAAAGAGCATTCTGGCAGGACCTCCAGAGTTCATCAAGATTCTTTGGATTCATCTTCAATGACTCCTCCATCATCCTACCCCATACATGCTCAATAATGGCCAATTGTGGAGCGCCTTGACTTTCTTTGCTTTCAGGAGCTTTGATATAAAGGCTGAAGAGAGAAAAAGTGCTATACTGCTGAGGAACGTACCCTCTCCTGTGGATTGTAATGTAATGAGCAGCACAAATATACATCAGGCTGTTGATGGTGCCATCCACCCTGCAGCTCTCTCACACGACCCCATACTGAACGTAACCCCAAACCATAATTTTTTTCTTTCACCAAAGTTGACTGATTTCTGTAAGAATCTTGGGTCCATGCGGGTTCCAATAGATCTTCTGCAGTATGTGTGATGATGATTGGGATGCAGTTCAT